AAATCAATAATAAGCTAACTACTTGTTAATAACACAAATGACATTATTTAAAAATATCATCAAAAGTGTAGCTGATAGTTTCAAGTTTTAGTGATACACTACTAGTCAAATATGATAGAATGAGCTCAAATTAGTAGTGTTGTATTGAATTGACATTCTAAGAATCATGTGAAAGTACTCAAACGATAATTTACTCTCATTCTGAGAGGTTTGAAATAACCACTAAAGAAACATCGATGACATTAATGATAGTTGTAAACAGGAATTTGAACCAGGGATTGAGTCTATTTCATATTGCAATCAACAACATCATTTACAATTATGATAGAATGTCTTTCATCAAAGCTATATGCAAGAGAGTGCACTTAATAATATTCTTTTTATTTAAAAAAAAAGCCTTTTAGATTGTAATAAGATATGTAAAGCTTCACTCTATATGTTAGTAGACAGTCATATAAAAAGTCAGATTATCATCATATTTGTATCTCAACATCACATTCACATTCGATCGGCTCTAATTCTTTGAAACTATGTTCGAAGCAGAAGAAAAACTGAAAAATTTTAATCAGTTCTGTGAAACAACTTTTTTTTCTACAAAATCGAGATATTTTGAAAGTACACTTAACGAAAAATAGTCTTCATATCGATAAAAGAAACAAATAGTTCGTGGTTGAAGGTCAATTGAATGTAACTAGAATATACATATACGTGTTATTTATCAAAAGTATTTCATATTTTCTGATAATCAGAAATTGCATATTGACAAATAATATAATGAATGCATTAAAACTTAATCATATTAATGTGAATAAGGTTATTATAAAATAAAATTATGATTGATAAACTATGAAACTTTATTTATTTTATCAAGAAATAAATCACTAAAAATAATTTTCGTGCTCATCGTTATATAAGAACAATAAATTCTTAAAGGTAAAAACTAACTAAATAAGTACGGATTAAAAAAATAAAAAAGTTAGGATACAGTTTTGAACTGCATCCTATGTCGTTATTGTATAATACTATTTGTTTATAAACCTTGTTGAATGAAACGGAGAAATTCAGCACGGTTAAGTTTTCCATCTTGATCTTGATCAGCATTTCGGAAAGCAGCATCGACGACATCGAATCCACTGCCTCCAGCACTAGCACCACCAAAGCTAGCACCACCGAAACTAGCACCAGCAGCACCGAAACCAGCATCAGCACCAAAGCTAGCACCAGCACCACCGAATCCAGCACCATTAACAGAGTTCGATTCAAATGATGATGATGATGATGATGAAAATCCACCACCAAAACCTGCATCGGCACTGTATCCATTGCCTGATGATTGAAAGCTTGATGATTCTTGTGATGAATATCCAGCACCACCGAAACCAGCATCAGCACCAAAACTAGAATTAGCACCACCAAAGCTAGCACCAGCATTTGAACCGAAGCTGGCACCACCGAAACTAGCATCAGCACCAAAGCTAGCACCAGCATTTGAGCCGAAGCTATTGCTGTCGAAGTGTGATGATTGATTGAAACCATTGTTCTCTTGACCATATGATGCTGCACTATAACCAACAACAGCACCACGAGCAGCGGGTGGTGACTAAACAAGTTTGAAATACGATCAGAAATATTTCTCAATAGCTTAGATAAAAATCAAAAACACTTACAATGTCTTCGACAACACCAGCAGCACGAGCTTGTTGTAAAAGTATGGATGAAGTGAGAAGGTTACCACCATATCGTTGAACATAAGCTTGTGGGTTTTCTTGTGTAACACCTAAGCGTTGGAATTGACGAACAACACGTACTTGTGAAGGTTCGTATTGAATGATAACGTTGCGTGGTTTAGCATATTGTTGAGCAGCACCAGCACGTTGTACAATTGTACGACGTTTGCATTGTGCTCCATAGGGAACCCATCGTTCGATGATGACATCACCTGTAGATAGAATAAAAATATTAAGTATAGTTTATGAAGAATTTTTCTTTCAATTATAACGTACGTGGTTTAGGTGGGAGGGGTGGCATACGTTCAATGATGACTGATCGTGGTGGAACTGGTAAAGCAGCTAAACGACGAATGACAGTTTGTGAAGCAACTGAAGCTGGTGGTTGTGGTGGTCTTTCACGAAGAACGAGTGGGGGTGGTTGAGGAAGAGCTGGAGCTTGTTGACGAATGCGAAGGGGTGGTGGTGGAGGTGGTTGAGGTGGACGAACTTCTTTGATAATGAGTGGCTATATAATAGAAAATTTTTAGATAATGAAAGAAGTTAAAAATACTGAAAAGAAATAACTTACACCTGGTGGTGGGATTGGTGGTGGTTGAAGGAAGCGAATTTTGATGTTTTGTGTATATGTTTTAACACCACCTGCAGCTGGACGGCGGATGATTTGTGGATTTGGATCTTGGTAGAGTCCTTGAGCATCAGTTGCATATCTTTGAACATTTGTTTCTGAACTGTATGCTTGACCTCCGAATCCGTTACTTGATGATTGGTATGATGATGATGATCCATAGTTTGATGCGCCACCAAATCCAGCAGAAGCACCATATCCACTGCTGCCTGATGATTCATAGCTTGATGAACTACCATAGTTACCACCAGCTAAACCAGCACCTGCGTTAAATCCAGAGCTGCCAAATGATGACGATGATGATGATCCATAGCCTGATGCACCATCAAAGCTAGCACCACCTCGATTACTACTGATCCATTGTTGAAATTCATTTCTATCGATGGCACCATCACGGTTGGTATCAACTTGATCGAAGATTGAGCGAGCATAATTTGAATTCATGATTGTAAATTATCACTGATAGATTAAATAAATGAGTATCTAATCGAATCGATAACGATGAATGTGATTACTATCGATTTTTCTCCGTATATATATAGTCAGTCTAGGATATCATATGAGCGTCAACTCCTTTAAATCATTCAAGCATATATTATGTAAACATTCTTTTTTGTATAGATTACCACCACAAAACCGACAATCAATCCCTAGATCGGTTAACTACACCTTTTTTTGTAGTTAGTTCTTACCAGATAGACAACCCACATGAAGGGAAAAATATCACCATTTCTCTCTCTCTCTTATTTCATATAATATACTAAACAAAAGACTCCTTGAGAAGCTGTAAACAAAAACATACAAAAAAACATGTTCGTCTATATAACGAATTTAATGCATGTTTATTCGTTTTTTTCGATATTAATCAGATTTATTTTGATCGTTCTCGATAAAACAAATGTATTGAGGTATTACCAATCATTTGTTTTTTTGACGCTCCTCATGTGCATACTTTGCATGATCGATGACGTACATCGTACGAGTAATAAAAACTATACAATACAACAATGATTATCGGAGGATGACTGTATGTGACCCCAGAAAATATCGATAAACCGTAGGTTCATACTCAACTCAAATAAAAATAAATTACAGTCATTTATCTAAAAAGTTATTCTATGTTAAAAGACATTAATTATGTATGAATATTATATAATAATATGTGTATTGAACTATTTATACAAGAAAAACCAATTTATTTTCAATATGATATTTAATCAAATGTTTTTATGTAAATCAACTGTTTGGAATAAACAAGATTAAATATTTTTTTAAGAAATTTCTTCTAATATTACATGTATTTGATATTTTACTATTATAAATCCTATCGAGGTTGCCAATATTAAACTATTGAAGAAATCATATCTATTAAGTTATTTTATATCAATACTAATATGTAATATATTCACTTTAGATTTATAGATAAATCAATTTATTATGAATATGTTATAATATTACGATTCTACATGTATACTATTTTAGAAATACACAGTAAATAAGATAAAAAGTTAACAATACTTTGAATTTTCTTTCTTCTGTGAGAGCATAAATATTGAATTTATTCGCTATTATTAAGTTGAGGGTGTGGGTATGAAACGAATATAATATCCATCCCCTCACTCATCTACCTGCATCGGCATTCATATCCTCAAGATGTAGCACAGATATATTTAAGCATACCTATAAATAGATAAGCTCTTGTTTTTTTTAGTAAACTATCATCACTACACTAAAAAAGGGTATAAGAAGGTATTGTCAACAGTAATATATTTACAAAGCCGAAACGAGTAATATAAAAAATGAATTCATTGCAACATTCTATGTATATGTACATTCCATCACAGAAATAATTTTAATAAAACTCATTTTTCAAAAAAGGTAATTCTCTCGTCCACGCTTGCTTTCTTTCACAAATACTCATACAAAACAACTATTCTCTAAGAAAAAAATAGACTGCCACCAATCATATTCGTAAGCAATTTCGTCTTGAAGGATGAATGTGGGTGTAATATGGTTTAGATACTAAAACCCACACCTCAAGCTGACTACACTTATTATATGTTTAATTGTATAATAAAAAGATTATCTGACTAATGAAAGTAAAAAGTGAAAAATTCCATCGTTTGTTATTAGCAGAAGATATGAACAATGGCTACTCCAATTTTCCATTGATTTGATCGATCCAACGGTAGTATAATGTACTTTGTGTACTGAGCCCTTAGAGTAGACTGTGCTTACATCAAAAACATGAATGTCGATAGCGATACGACCAACTAAATAAGCTATTCCAACGTCATCATCAAATATACTAACTTTTCCCATCAAATTTACCCGCACCATCCAGTCCAGAAATCACTGATAATCACAGAAATCGAGTGAAATTTTCAGAGATTATTAGAAATAAAACAAATCTAGAAGTTTGTTTTTTCCTCATTACTATCAATGAATTTTTTACTTTCGTTCAGTATATCGTCTAAGACATAATCGTCGAACTGCTCATAGCGTCATCTACAAATAACAATCGTAAATGGTTTATTTTATCCACCAGCAATGGAACAATGAAATAAAACGTACATTTTGATACTTTTTTTGCACGAAATTTCAATCCCATTATTGATATTTTTTGGTAAAAAGAAGTATTCAAAATGGCTCGTAATTCAGAAAAAGCTATGACAGCATTAGCTCGTTGGAGACAATTACAATTAAAAGAACAAGGAAAACTTCGTGTTGATCGTCGTCCACATTTAGCTAGTGAAGAATTAAATGTAAAAAAAGCTGAGAAATGGCGATATCAAGTTGTACGTGAAATAGCTCGAAAAGTAGCACAGATTCAAAATGGTATAAATAAAATTTATTCATGAATAATTTTCTTATTATTATACGATTTCATTTTAGCCGGTCTTGGTGAATATAAAATTCGTGATCTTAATGATGAAATTAATAAACTGCTACGTGAAAAATCTCATTGGGAAGATCGTGTGAAAGAACTTGGTGGGACGGATTTTAAAAAAACAGCACCAAAAATGCTTGATAATGAAGGAAAGGAAGTACCTGGTAATCGTGGTTACAAGTAAAAGAAAAAAAATTTTTATTAAAACAAAAAAAGTAATTCCTTGTTTTATTTTTGTAAAGATATTTCGGTGCTGCAAAAGATTTACCCGGTGTACGAGAATTATTCGAACAAGAAGGTAAGAAATGTATATCTATTATCTTATTATCTATTTATTCGTTGAATTTCAGGAGTATCACAACCAAAAAAACATCGTGGTGAAATGTTAAAAAATATTGATGCAGATTATTATGGTTATATGGATGATGATGATGGTTTACTTATTCCAGCTGAAGAAAAATGTGAAAAAGAAGCAATTAGAAAAAAAATTGAAGAATGGAAAACTACTGAAAAAAAAGATGTTGAAATGGATGAAGTCTATGTTGTACCAGAAATGAATGTAAGTCATAAAATTCTATAATTCAATAGGAAATAGTCTGTTCTAGCGAAGTAACAATTGAATATTTTTTATTTAGTCTGACGATGAAGATTATGTTGTTGGTCGAGCAACTCGACCAGAGATTGATGTTGCATCCAAAGATCATGTATTTATCGCACATGTACCTGTTCCTAGTCAAAAAGATGTAAGTTTTATTAACATATTGGGGAAAAAAACAACAAAACATATAATGTGTATATTTAGATTGAACGTGCATTATTAGATCGGAAGAAACAAGAATTACTTGCTAAATATGTATCTGATGATCTTTTGAAAGAAGAACAAGAATCAAAAGATTTACTTGGAAAATAAAATATTAACAAATTTGTGTCGTCTTTCTCTTTCTCTGTTTCTTTTTGTTTATCTATTCTTACAAATAAACAAAATTTCTGTAATGGACTTTGAGCAAACATAACTCAAGATGTATTTTGTGATAATTTCAGATACGAAAACATGCATTGGTTGTTTGCATTCATTATTCTTTTAATTATTTGTTTAATTCATTTATTTATTTGTCCATATACAAAAGTTGAAGAAAGTTTCAATCTACAAGCTATTCACGATCTTTTAATTCATCGATTGAACATATCAAATGTAAGATAGAAAGCTTTTTTTAAATAGAAATATTTAATTCTAATTTTAGTATGATCATTTAGAATTTCCTGGAGGTATAAAATCGACAAATAACAAAAACTTAGACATATCATTATGTTTATTTAGTTGTACCTCGAACATTTCTCGGACCGATATTTGTTGCAATATTAGCTTGGCCTTTTACAAACATTTCATTGAATCATCATCTTCTTTATTTACAATATATTGGTAAAGAAAACATATATTAATTTCAAAAAATAAAAACGATTTTATATTTAAGTTCGAATTATTCTTGGTCTACTAGTCATTTCCGGTTTAATTCATTTATATAAGTCATTAAAAGGTTATTGTGATTTATCAACAAGACGTTGGTGGCTTTTTGTGATAGTGACACAATTTCATTTTTTATTTTATTCCACACGAACATTACCAAATATATTTGCAGTTGTTATTGGTTTGTTGTTCTATTATTTTGAAGAAATATTCGAAATAAATTAGTTTCTTTTAGTTTTACATTCATTTGCATTTTGGCTTTCCGGACAAGGGAAATTACTCGTATGGACATCTGCGTTTGCAATACTTATTTTTCGATCTGAACTTGTTATTTTATTGGGTTTAATTTTATTACAAGAAGTTTTCATTAAAAAACATTTAACTTTTACGAAAACAATCATTCATGGATTGATTGCTAGTTGTTTAGCTATTGGTAAATGAAATATATATTTATTGATTTTAACAGATAATTTATCTATAGGATTGAGTACACTTGTTGATAGTTGGTTTTGGCAACGTTGGTTATGGCCTGAAGGTGAAGTGCTGTATTTTAATACAATTCTTAATAAAAGTTCACATTGGGGTGTAAGAAAAATAAGATATTCAATTTTCTCTTAACCTTTTGATTTCTACAGACATTTCCATTATTATGGTATTTTTATTCTGTTCTACCACGAGCACTTGGTGCATCGCTTATACTTTTACCATTAGGTTTAATTGTTAATAAACATCTTCGATGGATTATATTGCCAAATGTATTATTTATTATAATCTATTCAATTTTACCACATAAAGAACTTCGATTTATTATCTATACATTTCCAATTTTAAATATATCGATTGCTCAAGGATGTTCATATTTGTTCGTATAAAATTTTACGCATTGTTTTCTTAATATATTCTTTTTTGTTTTATTATATAAAGATTTCAAACAAGAAGACGTTGGTCAATTGTTGTTAAATTATTTGTGTTGGGTTTATTATCAATAAATATGATTCAAACAGGTATCTCATTGATCGCTTCACATTATAATTATCCAGGAGCAAATGCTTTACTTCAACTTCAAGCATATAAAAAATGTAAAATTTCTACTTTACATTTCTTAAAGATTCATTCGATTATTGGTTTCAGATGAATCAACAGCGACCGTTCATATTGATGTTTATTCAGCTGAAAATGGAGTATCTCGTTTTCTTGAAATGAAAAATTGGATGTAAGTCATATATATTATTCATTTATTAATTTTACAAATATTTCTATTTAGTTATAATAAAACCGAAAATTTAACTATTGATGACTTATCTCAATTTGATTATTTATTGGTTGAAGCAACAAATGATGATGATCATCGTTTAATTCCGTATTTATCTCGAGGTCATCAAATTATTGATTTTGTTCGTGGATTTAATGGATTTTATATTCATAGACAATTTTTATTGAGAATGCGTTTTACACCGAAAATTTATATGTTAGAAAAAAAGAAAAATACAAGTTGAATATCCTAAAATAAGATATTCATCGAATGGATCTTATAAAACAAAAACAAATCGTTAATATCTGAGATTATTGTTGAGTAATAAAACGATTGAAAAACTAAGATATTTTCGATATAAATGCTATACGAATAAACAAAAAAAAAAGATTTTTCCCGAGAAATAAATTTTGTACAAAACAAATA